ATGTTGCTTCCTGACAAGTTCGTTTAAACTTTACGTTCTGTTGTAGATAACTGGTTTATGTATTTGATACCTTTGAAATGAAGTTATTTAATAATAAACCTTTGTTTGTGTAAGTTTCGGTTAAGATTCAGACTTCAGATTAATTTCTGATGTGCGACGTGTGAAATTAAGTATCTACTAAATATGACTTAGATACAATGTCAACTTTGATTGTTGATGATAATATTTTGCCAACAGTTGGCATTGTTAGTAGCAAACCAACTACTCATAAAACATTTATTGAACCTAAATAGGAAAAACCATAAAATAATGATAGGAAAATAATGGGCCACTGTCGCTTAAATAAATACTAGTACACAATAGATGCTACAGAGAGTCCCCTTTGTCGGCGCTGCTTTGAACCCGAAGAAACGGCTTCACAAAAGCTAAGAAAGGTAAGGTCGCTCCGTGACGCTTGTGAAGATACCAAGAGGATTCTGCGCTTCTGGGAGTAACTTGTCTGGCTACTTTACTAGTCTCAGCACTACACGCACATAGGCCCTGATGAGAGACTAAATGCGGAGAATAGTCTCCATATTACATTACATTATTATCAATGCTTTATCCAAGTAGGTTTCAAGCAAGTCATATACCTACTCTGTCTCACCCATGTAAAATCGCCAATGAGAGATCGCTTTCTAAGATATTTTACAATTTTTACACTCCACACACTACTTCCACGCTTGCGACATAGTATGTTTATTTCATTAAAATTTAAAATGTGAAATTCCAACAAAATAATTATACATAAAACATTCTGTGGTAACATTACACTACGTTAATAACGGATCACTGGAACTGGAATCACCTGGGACTGCTGTAAATACGCTAAACTGCTTGCTAATAGCAGTTAAGCCCTTTACAATCGGTACGAATTGCTCGCTGTTCTGTATATCTAGCTTTATTAGGTTTTAAAGCAATTAACCCACCGTAATTATCCTAAGCTGAGTATAAAATGACCTGATTTTTATGAGGTTTATTTGGTATATGTAGGTTTATTTTGTTGTGTTAATTAATCATACAAATAATATCATATTAATGTCTGGGGTGGGAAGGGTGGAAAGGGATAGGAATTATTAATCCACATTACTAACAGTAATGTGGATTAATAATCCCATTGCTAGCAATATGCCACGTCAGATTGATCTCCAATTCCTGGGGACTTTGCCACGATGGGCTAACTGACCTGACCTCATACTCATCTCATCTTATATCATCCTCCACTGGTGCCCCGCGTATACCGTTTAGCGAAGGAGAGTGTTCCATTTCATTATGATCTTTTAAAAATATATCATGTTTTTGATAATTCAATATTGGAATTTCACCGAAATAGTACTTGCAAAGGATCGACTGCGTGGGTACCTCAAGTATCACTTATTTTATTTTTTATTACCGTCATGTAGCTGAAATAAGTGATGTTACAGAATAAAGTGTATGGTATCTTAGTCCTGAATGACAACGAATAGGTAAGTGATAACACGGGCGTTACATCAGCAATTTCTCGAAATTAGTTAACCACAAATCACTAAGAATCTACTATTACCTTCTTATCCTATTTTCCTTTAGAAAGCAATAAGTACATTAAAACTAAGTAAAACTAATTATTTACATGTAAAAGTTGGAACATAGTCTCATCCAACAAGCATAAAAACCTAATAACTTTGTTTTATTTATTAAAATAAAATACTACTAATAATACATACATAACCTAATAACTTTTATTGAATTTGTTAAAGATATACTGTATTTTAGTACCTAACTATAACTAATACATATGTAGCTTTATGACACCATTAGATGCTAGAACGATTAGGCTTTAAAATTTGTAACGCAAACCACAGTTGCCACAAGAGTATAATCAGGGTTTTACAGATTTAATATGAAATTAAAACTATATTTTAATTGTTACATAGCGGCCTCATTTACACTTCAGTGTATATAAATTCTGTTCTCACTTTTTTTACACTTCAGTAATAGTATATAAATTCTGTTCTACATTTTATATTTCTGATAGATAAATTGACCACAAATAAAAAGCAATTAAATTCGAGAGCTATAAGTAAGGTTACCTGATGTCGTTGGATGAAATGCATATACTCGGAAGTTTGGACTTGATACTATGCTTCTGAAATTCTTACCGACTTCTGACCTTTTCTATTAATTATTTTGCATATATATGGCGGTTTGCTTCCCACTAGTAGATAGTATGGTAATATTATGCATAAGTTTTATTAATTCTTGAATATCAGTAAATTTTAATGAAAGTACAAGTTTATCCATTTTCACAGTAAAATTTGCAATATTACCTAAATGTCAAGAAATGTTAACCTTTGAACAATCAGTGTCAGTAACTGTCAACATTTAATTAAATTAAATAATTTACAGACTAGGGAGATAAATAAACTATAATTGATATTAGATTAATGCTCCTAATCTAAATATAATTACGTAGAATGTATTAGGCCTGTGTGACGTGTGTAAGGAATGGAATGATTCAGAACTGCTAAGAAAAATATTTGAGAGTACAAAGTAAATTGGGTGGTCGATTGATACTGTCTACGTGATCTGCCTCGATGGCTTTTAATGAACACGTTCCTTACAACTCTGTTTTCCTTATACCTGCAACGTATTTCTAATCGAAGCAGAAATAAAATCAGAAAATTGTTTTCGAAGCATCGCTTACTCAGGCGCTAATTTTTATTTTGTTGTTTTCGAGACTTGGGTAGCAATTAATAGTTTTAATAATAAAAATTTAATATTTAGCGCAATACTTGTAGTGTCTGCGATTTTTTATATATGTTATGACAACGATAAATAACGCATATACACGATGTCATTTATTATTTGAATAATGAAATGTATAAATTTAAATATAGATAGAATAAGCTTTTGTTTGCATTATACAGTAAAAGGTAGGTAACCTTTTACTGTATAATGCAAACAAAAGCTTATTCTATCTATATTTTGAGCCACACAATGTAACAATGTACATTCTGTGTACATTCTATTCTAATTGCTCCAGCTGTTTATATAAAACCTTAACAAACAAACAGTTTTTCTCTATCATCTCGATTTTACCATTTTGTTATATATAAAGAAGAGGTATCAAAAGGAAAAAAAAGTATCTTTATCTTTATGATAAAGATACTTTTTTTTCATTATTATTATTATATGGTTATTATTCGAGTGATGTAAAGAAAGATGTAAGTACAGTAAGTAATAGACATCTGGATATTCCCTTACCGTACATTGTAGTTATATATGGGGTACTTCTATATTAAGGATAACAATAACTAATGTATTTATTTGGTACAATTTTATATAGGACCAACATAGATTTTGTAGAAAATTGAACCTCTGACCTGCTTATTTCTGCCGTTAAGCAGCTTGTATTGTAGATATATGTATATATATCTACGTCCTTACAGTTTCAGTTGAAGTGTAAGAACGTAGATATAATATATTAATCCTCCACAATGGCAACGACTTACTTGACCAGGATATGTCCGACTATTGCTATTTACCTACCGGCACCTGGTGAGCCGCCAGTTTATACGCCTAGTTACATAAAACATATGATTACCAATATATTACAATCCAGGCTGACTGTAAAGGTTGCGGAGGATATTTTGAAAAAAAAAACAGGATTCGTTAAAAAATGTATTTTATTTGAATATCTTCTTCATTTAAACATTTGTTCAAAAGACCAATAGGCAAGTTCTATGCGTATTTTTCTTGGCTGAATCTGAATTCTAAATGCGCTCATTCAATTAATTCTAAATGAGCGCATCAATCATCAAGATTAATACAATGTGTAATTAATACAATTCAGTGCAATAGAAAATATATCAATTAAATTACTTAAAATTAAGTTTATTTGAATAAAAAATATTTATATTCATTTGTATTTTCCCATTTAGTAATAATTTCATATGTTTGACACATATGAAGTTGTTTTCCAAGATTTTTTTTTAACATTTTCAAAATATTTTTTATTAGATGGCATAAAAAATACACACAATCCTAAATTTTGACTCTTCTACCATCAACCCCTATTTTTTAAAAGCGATTTTAATTTATATGGCAAAAGAACGTTTGCGGGTTCAGCTAGTAGGTAATAAAATATATAAACAACAGTTAACAAGTGGCACTAGCCCCATCAAGTTGTCAAGCAATCTATTGTGTATAATTATGTAAAGTAAATTGTGTAATATACCTAATTATTGTAAGAATAAAAGGGACCCCTTTTAATAATATATTTTAGTCATTATATTATATTCTATAAGCTTTTTAATTCTAGGTTCTTAGTTGTACAATTAGGTTATGTAAATAAATATATTGTGTTTTTTAAGAATTCAACAAACTTAATATGATAATCTTATATATAAAATTCTCGTGTACAATGTTAGTTACCATACTCCTCCGAAACGGCTTGACCGATTTTTATGAAATTGTATATGCATATCAGTAGGTCTGAGAATCGGCTACTATTCTATTTTTCATACCCCTAAGTGATAAGGGTTGTTCACGCCTAACATATTTTTTTTATTGTTTGGGCAAAATTTTTTATTTATATTTATTTATTATGTGTCATTAAAAAATACATACAACCCTAAATTTTCATCCTTCTACCACCAACCCCTATTTTTTTATAGTGTTATTAATTTATATGGCAAAACAACGTTTGCCGGACAGCTAGTAACTTATAGTAAATATATTCTTGTATTTTCTCTATAATAATTTTTACTATGTTGTATAATAAATACAGTTGGCTTTACTTCGACTAGACAAAGTAAATAACTCGTAAACTCGTAATCATAATTCTTTAGCTGTCATTTGGAATCGACGAATCCTGTTTCGCATGCGTCAACAACACAGGTGAAGTTAGCTGCAGTTCATACGGACCCCATCAAATCCGTAAACCGAACGCTGTCGAAAAAACACGAACAGTGCCGAACCGGTCTCTCTCCCGGACTCACGTTCGCCGAGCCTATACATTATTGACAATTTTCTGAGATATTATCCGTAAAAACGCATACTGCCGACTATACTGCCCCAAAATATCAAACACTAAGTGATAAAGTGGTAAATTATATAAAGAACAATGCATATTGTGCAACTAGAAATGTAAATTGTAAACACAGTTCGGTGCCGCTAAAGGATTACGTTAATTAACATAATAACACTGATATAATACCGGAGTTCAACCTATTGTGCAAAGTGAAGTTACAACATTGTTACATTTTAGACATCGATTCATCAGTGTATAAAGAATAATAAATATTTAAGTGAGAAATATGCCGACAAATATACAAGAAAATATCGCTCTATTAAATATGATGTCGTCAGATAACCTTGAAGACGATTTGAAGAGTATACAGCTCCATTATCCCTCGGAACGACGATTGCAAAGTGATGGCGCATGCGTAGAGGAGAGGGTGAGAACGTCTCGTGGGGACATTTTAGTGGCGGTCCGAGGGGACCGTAGCAAGCGCGCCATACTTACGTACCATGACCTTGGCCTCAATTATGCCGCGAACTTTCAGGCATTCTTTAACTTTGTCGACATGAGAGCAATTTTAGACAAATTTTGTATTTACCATGTCAATGCTCCAGGTCAAGAGGAAGGCGCTCCCGCATTGCCTGAAGACTTTACTTATCCAACAATGGACGCTTTGGCATCCCAAATAGATTTCATCCTTGGTCATTTTGGTATAAGATCTTTTATTGGATTCGGAGTGGGTGCAGGCGCTAACATTTTGGCCCGTTATGCGATTGCTAACCCTCAAAAAGTAGATGCTTTAGTATTGATCAATTGTACATCTACTCAGGCTGGATGGACTGAATGGCTTTATCAGAAAATTAATACGCGACAGCTTCGTTCCAGTGGGATGACTCAGGGCGCTCTCGACTATCTTATGTGGCATCACTTCGGCCGTAGCACTGAAGATCGCAATCATGATCTTGCACAAGTTTATAAAGATTGTTTTTCTCACGTAAATCCAGTTAACTTGTCTATGTTTATCGATTCATTCATTCGCCGAAGTGATTTGGGAATATCTCGGGAGAGCAATTCGATTAAAATACCGGTTTTGAACGTGACAGCCGCTTTGTCGCCGCATGTGGATGATACCGTAACCTTTAATGGTCGCTTGGATCCCACTAAGACGTCGTGGTTGAGCATTTCTGATTGCGGGATGGTATTGGAGGAACAGCCTAGTAAGATAGCGGAGGCTTTCCGACTGTTTCTGCAGGGCGAGGGTTATTGCAGGTAGTCACATTGCCCAGACAACGAATCGTGCGCAGCGCTGCTACTCATAGATGCACTGATGCTTACACGCGAGCTTTAACGACACAGTTGTTTGTAGTCACGTTGATGACGTAGAGAAAAATGTTGTTCCTTGTTTCTAGATATTTATGGAAATAAATTTATTTTACGGCTTATTTGTGTCATTTTTATTGTTATATTAGCAGACATTGTTAGAAATAGTTAATTTGTCTTTATTCTAACCTAACCCTATACTTCATTGTACCTACTATATATTTTTTAATTAGCACAGGATATTCTTGTTTCGGGATCACAGAATCAGTGTAGTTATGTACCACTCATTTATTTATTTAAAGATAGATGAAGAAAACTTGTCTGATATTTATATTAGATATAAAATTTTGATACCAAGATTTCAGATTTTTGCTAAAAAACAAAATCCAAACTTTGAATAATAAGAAAAACTTTTTTTGTATAATAAAATAGATATTATTATTTAGTCATATATAATAAATATACTACTACTACTGTCTTTCTTTGTGAAAGATATTTGGAGTCTTTGTTTTCTCGATGTTACTTTATATTTATAATTACATTTCAATACACATATGTACCTATATTGAAATGTAAGCACAGCGTGTATACAATGCGGTGATTATTAATTACACGTGCATGAACTTACTTACGTCAATCATTTTATTCCCTTATTGTACATAGAATAGAATTAAATAAAATATAAAAGAGTAAAAAAAACTGGTATTAAAAAAACAGGAACTTGTAATTTAATCCATAGTATATGAATGACATATGCTGCGAGATTAGCAGTATTAGAAGAGTCGCCTGCTGGTCAGCCTATATCGAATTTGCAGCTTTCTCGTTCGCTGAGCGCATTTACTGCGCGGTACATACATAGATATATGAAGGATCAAAAGGGTGTATTATAATAGTCTTAAGGGTCGGCAACGCGCACGTAAGACTCCTGGCGTCTCAGGCGTCTCAGGCGTCCATAGGCTACTACTGCTCCATAGTACTATAAAAAAAGGATAAGGATAAATTTGATAAAGTATGGTATGGGTACTATTGGTTTCATTGCTAGCAGTTTTTAGTACGTTGTATTAATTATTTGTAATTAAAATTAAGTTGTAATTATTTTATGCAGTTTTGATGCAAATATACAATATATACAATACATAGCATATAATATGGTGGTATTAAATAGTTCGAATTATGTATATAATTCTATCTGCTTAGTAGGTACCATCTAATCATAAGAACAATAAAAAACTATTTCACAAAACATGTGCTGGTCAACCGTGATAAGGGTAGAAACTTAAATACTCTATTCTACTCGTACCTATACCAAATATTACCTACCTGTAAGAAGCTACACACATGTATGATTGTACTATTTTATAATTACCTACATATATTGCAGTTGTGATCACATATTTTTTAAAACAACAACACTCACGATCCCATAACTGAAACAAAGCCAATGTAATTTCCATATTCAATGATATTAAATTTAAGTCTGCAATAATCCAAATTGAATTTCAGGACCGTAAAATTATGAACCGTTTTCAATTAACTTGAATTTAAATTATCTCTTTATTTTGTTTGTGTTTTTAATGTTTAATAATTTGGTATTTTCAATACGGCACCTGACCTGTAATATAAGTAGGATATACTTACTTGTATAAAAGTACATATATTTATACTAGCTGTGCTCACGGTTTCAACCGCGTTAAATTTCAATAAAAAATATTGCGTATATGTTATTGTGATGCATAAGCTATATATTACAACAAAGTTTCATGAAAATCAGTATTTTTTGGGCGAAAGAGTAACAACCATATTCACAAACTTTCGCATTTATAATATTGTTGGGATGTAGATAGAATTATCTTAGACACATCGTTATTGGAAGGCCTTGGTGATTTAGCAATTTAACACACTACCATTACGTATGTTAAATTGCTTCAGGATTACAGCGTTTAATTCCCTCATAATACAAACATTTGTAATAATGTGTATGAATGTTTGTATCCATAATCATATTACTCTACACATAATATACATAGTGACACTTTTTATAAAAAACGAGTACTTTAATATTTTTGTAATTTATATGTAAATAAATTAAGTTTGTGGTAGCAATGATGAATAGGTTATCGAGAAGGTACCGACTACAGATGCAGTCTAATATATAGTAGGTATCTGACAAATGTACTAAATCTGTAGAATATGAAATCTATTTGTTTTAATGGAACTATACCTACTATCGACACTTTTCGATTGGATTGTTACTTATATTAAACAATTGAAATGTCCTCACATTTATCAGTAATTCTATATGTTTATATGTATGCACAGGAAAATAATATGTTAATGGCTTGAGTCGCTATGAAACGCGACTGAAGGGTAACGAGAAGAAAAATCGTGGGGTCGAATTCGACAGTCGCACCTAATTTTAGGTTTTCCATGGTATGTCACCTGTTTAATAATATTATTTAACTGCTAATATATCTGAACTAGCAGACTAATCCATTTGGTTTCGCATGGGTGGAGAGATATTTTTCTATATTTTAATAATAATAATAGTTGTCCTATCATATCCTATTCACACAGTGTCATCTAGACCCAAGTTAAAATAGCTAAAACTTGTGTTCGCGCCTACAAAGTTCCATACAGCAATTTATTTTTTTTGGTTATTGTTTAATTATTCATAAAGGCGCTTATAAATAAAGGGTAGACAAATTATTACTTTGAAATTGAAGAGCAATGTCATTCAAACACTCTCTACTAGACAGCCATTACATTCGCATCCATCCATACAGTTATACACATTTTTATACATTCTTTAAATCAAGTAAATTGTACATGAAGCAATAAATCTTATATTCAACAAAAAAAGAGTTTCTCTATATAACAATAAGAAGCTCCAGATGTCATCCTAGACATAATTGGCGACCGTGACAGGACATGAGTTACTCGCAAAAAACCAGCTGTTCTACGGAGTCTTCGTAGCCGGTCAACATTACATTGTACCGCAGCGGCGTTTTCACCCAGAACACGTAACAATAACACCAATGGAAGCAGGAAGCTGCAAGACCCCGGCCAATCAAGCAGCGTTTCAGCGTGCCAGCAGCGCCTTGAGCCGCAGCGTGCCATTCAGCTAAGTGACCTTTCATCCATCCATTTATCCATCCTATCGACTATTACTGTTTTACTTGTGCGAATATAATATTACAACTATACGAATATCATTACATTCGTAATGGTTAACTACGCAATATTTGTGTACGCATTTTCTATAAGGTTATTTTTCGACTGTACACATTAAATGTTGATTTTTATCACAAATTATATTCCTTTTATCTATATTCGTCACTTAAATCTAATTTAATAAATTACGAGATTCTAATATTTTAAGCAATCAATGTGTACATACCTACATTATTATTCGATTAAAAATTTATATATATTTTTTTTCATTTAATTGGCATTTATAGATGCACATGTATCGTAATTGCATATTTTTGATAAATTAGTCAATAAAACAATTACTAAATTTATAACTTAGCGTACATACACCCTACATTCAAATATTATTAATATCCACATAGATAAGACATCTATGTTTATCTTGTCTGTCTGTTATTAGATAACCTAGCAAAATCCAGTAGGTACCTATACAATTTATTTGTTCGTTATTCTCACGCCGCCTATCTTGCCGACCATTTTCAGTGGCACCGCTTCTTCACAAGTTTGTGCGGTGCGGCCATCGTGTCGTACCTCGCTGTTACAATCAGTTGTACGGGCGGGTGCATGGAACCGGTTTACGTACAGCGGACACCGATAGTGAGGAGCGTGAGATTGCACATTTAATTTCTTTTAGTTTTAATTTGATTTCCTCATTATAGTCACTAGGTTTTAATTATTATATATTTATTTTGTTATAGAATAAATAAACTTATCTACATAATTACACGTAATTGATTTATGCTAAACAATATAAAATATTGCAAGTATTCATATAGAGGAAAAGAGATTTCTAAGACAATATTATCTAATGATTTTCAATACGTAAGCGATTAATTAAAATTAATTATTATATCTCAATGTGGCGATATTGATGATTCTAAGAACTTAGCAGCGTTATTCACACGCCGTAGTTCCATCAAGGGTCAAATCACTAAATTTCGTAATTACGTCGATAAGGTTGCGAGAATAGATTCCTTAAGTACTGCAGACATTGCAGAATTATCTTTAAAACTTCAAAAAATTGAGAATTTATCTGCCAAGTTTGACGAGCTGCAAAATCAAATAGAGGTTCAGAACCCTCATAGTTTGTCTTCCGAGCTTGAAGAACGAGATGACATTGAAACGGATTTTATAACGTCTATTGTAGCGGCCAAGACTTTAATTGACGAACATAATCATCATCAACCTACTCATGCAGACTTAAACCATTCACAAAATATAACACAATGCCATTGCAATCACGGTGGCAGTCCATTAACATTGCCAACCCTACAAATTAATAAATTTAACGGGTGCTATTTATTATGGCAGGATTTCCGCGATTCATACATGTCACTAGTCCATAGTAACGATCACATTCATCCAATTAATAAATTTCACTACTTAATTTTATATCTGGAGGGTGACGCGCTTCTAAATTAGATAGAATTCTATCTAACTTAGAAGTGTCAGCAGCAAACTATAAGAATGCCTGGCAGTTGTTACTCGACCGCTATGACAATAAAAGGTTATTAATTACCTATCATTTAAATTCTCTCTTCGATATATCCCCTGTTGATCGAGAATCCGATCAATCAATACGATATGTCATAGATCACGTGACTAAAAATCTACGCGCATTACATAGCTTAGGACAAGCCACTGACAAGTGGGACACTTTAATTATACATATAGTTTCGTCTAAATTAGATACAACAACCCTCACTAAATGGGAAGAGTATCGTAATACACTAGACGATGACGTCACTTTCAGTCAATTTAAAAAATTTCTTAGTGACCGGGCTGACATTCTCGAGTCATTATATCGAAATAAATCAAACATAAATTCTAGTAACCATATATACAATAACCAATTGCCCTCTAAATCATCTCAAAAGGAATCACATGTCAAATCCTTTGTTTGTTCACAAACCCACGGCCAGTCTAGTGTA